TACTCGAAACTTAGTATTTTCCCTTGCATTTTTATAAATTCTAAATAATTAGCACAACAACAAAAGAGAATTACCTCAAACAGGTGTAATTCCATAGTGTCCAGTTCATGGTTGTGTTTCCTATCTGTTACATGTTATTTAGTGTAGTGAGGTTTTTTTGGCTATTGCAAGCACTGCAGGTTAAACTTACATTCATTGCATTGTATTTTAAGTTGAAACTTTTTAAAAAGGAGATTCTTTCAGTAGGATTTTAATAATTTTAAGAAACAGTCTTATTGATGGACTCTGTACATATGTTAAAATTACTAGCTCTTTATCTGATGTATGTGTTATGGGCTGATTGATAGAAAAACGTATTTATGGTCATGAATGATGCTATTTGTACATAGGTTTTAAGTTACTAGGATACAGACTCTGTTTTTAAATCTTGTATAATATTTCTGTGATACTTTTATAGAACAATTCTGGCTTCGGGAAAGTCTAGAAGCAATATTTCTTGAAATAAAAAGTGTTTTACTTTACCTGCTTCAGAGAAGTCCAGGTCATCCAGTTTTCCTCTTAATTAAGATTTATTTTAAAAATATGTTAATAGTTTCAGTTTTAAGAATCCATCCACTTTTAAAGCAATGAGTAACTAAATAACACACTATAATCTGTTAGTTATAAATTATTCCTTGAGATTGTGAATAATATATATTTTTTGTTTAAGACATACTGTGATTTTTTTTTTTTTTAAATTGCCAAGTCATTCAATCCTTTCTTCCTTGAATTCAGTGCACGGAGCTGCACAACCCAGAAGCAAAGCAATGTCTCACGGTGCCAGCCCCTGCTTTGCTGCTTTCCCTCCTCCCTGCAGAGCTCTCCCTGGGACAGCACCGTGCAGCAGGCTGGGCATCCAGGGCTTCACGAGAGGGGACCACAGATCTCTAGTCAGGAGGAGGGTCTCCTTGCACAAGAGTTATCACAAAACGGCATTTGGGTTCCAAGGTAATCTCTCTTTTACTTGCACTCTTCTGCTTCTTTGGTGGTCTGTGAATAAGATCAGCTTCATAAGCTAAAATCAGCCTCTAAAGCTATGCTTCATGAACTCTTTCTTCTCCACCATCCTTGGGCATCGATGGTCTCGCAGACGTGAAGTTACAGGTGATGTTTGTGGGAATCAGGGAAGGGCATCAACCTACATGTTCAAAAAGCAGTCGCTGCAATGCTAGATAGATCCCTGAGAGATGTCTACCCCTGGAAAGCACACTGGCAAACATAGGATGTCTTCCAAAAGAGGGTGTGGAGCAGGCTGAGTCAGCAATTTTGGGAGGACTTTAAGGACAAAGGCAAGTTGAAGGTAGGTCCCATACAATTACTTCTCATATCATTGTGCGGGGACTTATCCAGCACCAACCATGTGCCATCCGTTCTTTGAAAGTACACTTCTTTGAAAGAACCAAGCAAGATGGTTTCTTCTCTCCTAATTCTTGGATAGAGGTAGAGAAGGAAATGGTGTAATGGTGTGGTCCACCCATTCACCCACCTTGTCCTTCCTTCTTACATGAGAGCTTGAAGTATTCACTCAGCAACTGGAAGAGATCTCACATTCCTCAGCTTGAAAGTGGTCAACCTTCCTTCTCCCAGGACAGTGCCCAGTCTTCTAAACTATCAGAAGCTTAGATAGTGCCCTATCCTCTAAACTAGATGGGAGCCTTCTTTTTGCAGCTCTCTTACAGGATTGTGGAAGAAACCAAATATAAAAGAGATTAAGATGTACATGGAACAATGAGCTCTGATCCTCGCTCTCTGAAAACATGCATCAAATATAAAACCAGGCCAAATGAAAGAGGCCAAAAGCTGTCAGATCCCTACGTAAGTGTCCTAAGCAGTGTGTTGCTATCCTAACACATTTTGCATTTCTTTCTCTACAGTACTCCTTGTCCTGTAGCTGAGGCAGTCAACTCCATGGACAGTGCATGGTGTGACTGTCAGGAAGCTCTTGCAGGCATCCGGCAGTCACAGGCTCAGGAAGAAAACAAATGCTTAAACCTGACTTCATCGGCAAGCGCTCCTCGCAGCAGGCAAGGGAAGGGCTGAGAGGGGGGCCTTCCCGGCTTTTCCTATCTGCAAAATAGTGTCAGGGGTATCTATTTTGAAAGGCAGTACATAGTTATTTACTTTCCGTAGAGGGCCTGGAGCTGGACAAGAATAACTTCAAGGCTTGCAGATCTCTGGGAGGCGCCAACATGTGAAATGTTTCTTCTGGGGTTTAGAAGGCGGCAACCAATACTGCCCTCACACCCTTGGACTGTGTGAGACACTTTCTGAAGCCTCCTACCACCAGAAAGTCCTCAAGAAAAGCAAAGATGGCTAACGCTTCATTTTCAGAACTTCAGACATGACTTAGTTGCTGTTATGGGTAGGCAAATCTCACTGTTCCCAAGGTGTTAATGCACACAAACAGCTACAAAACACCATTTGGATCACAGCATCGCTCTGGAGGTCAGCCACCTCTAGGTTTACCTGAGAGTAGAGTGAAGGTTTTTTCAGAGTACAGGTCCGGGCATAGACCACCCCCACTCTCCCCCCCAAAATCCCTTCAGATGCCTGCAGCTGTCTACATTGGAAGTCACACAGACGCAGTGGGAGAGGATCTGTGTGTAAAACACTCGGGGCTGAGAAGCCAAGAACTGCAACAGCCCTGATCAGGGAGGATCTGCTCAGGACTAACCTTGAGGCCTGAGCACCCATGGATAAGCTGGTGCTTACTAGGCGTGATCCTGTAAGAAAATTTTCCTCCCTCAGTCTCAGCAAAATACAATCCATTTTGTCTGCTCTGACACCATTTTTCAGTGAGAAACGACATGCAGTAAGTGGGGTGCAAGCCAGAGAGTCATTTCAAAAACATATGTCCCACCTGGAGGGACAGAATCACAGCCTGAGCCACCTCAGAGCTCCCTGGGGTAATTTTACTCCTGCTCCGGCAGCAGATGTCAGTGCAGAGCTGCACAACAGTGCTTCTCCTTGGCCCCTGCACCACCCTGCTGTGCTTCCAACCCTTGCCAAAGTAGCTCATTTATTCAGTTTTCAACTAGCAACTAGACCCTTGATGTGCTAGCAATCTACTGATGATAATTTAACACACAGCACATTCCTTGGTTTAACAGCTGTAGTCTTGGGCACTGGTGACATTCAGGGGGATCTGCAAGACGCTTTTTTGTGTGGTCGCGTGTATTGGAAACGAAAACAGGCAAGTCTTACTTTGAACTTGGAAGTCAGAGAGGATTTGGACTGCATGAATTTCTCTGCTGCCCATGAAACTGTAGCTTCTCCCTGGTCACACGCATCAGCTGAAGCTGCGCTGCTGGCTGAGGGCTTGAATCTGGCAGGTGCTGTACATACCTCTGCAGTTTCTGACTGTGGTCTGAAAACAAATGCACTTAGCTCAGAAAGACGAGGCATGTCCTGAATCAAAGTGAATTTAGCTTCCCTGTGGCAGCAAAGTTTTGTTTGGTCATTGCTGGGAGGGGTGAGGAGGGGTTGATACAGTATTCACAGTATGCCAAGCAGTGATGAGGTTTCATAGAAACGAGCCATAGTTCATCCATTAAATATGCACTACAGGTCAAAACATTTTGAGTATAAAGGCTCAGTAATAAAATATGTCTAGAAAAATACGTTCAACCTGCTGTTCTTTTGATCCTGAAAGACCAGGACTGGGATGGAATTTCCATCCATGGATACACCCATACTTTTAAATTAAAGTGAGTCCAGAGAGTAAACTAGTTCCGAAACCAGATTATACGACTAAGGTCACAACCACATTGCCAGACCAGGCTGCCTGCACCCACATTATGTAGCACTCAGCCCTGGGTCTCCTCTTGGCTCCGTGCTGATGTTCCTGTGGACCCAAAATACAAATTCCACCTGTTTTCATTTCCAAATGCCTGCGGTAATACAGGGCCTGCGTTGCAACCAGGAGAGCTCTTAGGGCGATGCGTGAGGACGCAGCGGTCCCCGACGCACACAGCCTGGGGTGCTGGGTGGCTGCAGGAACGGGGGGAACCAAACCTGGCTCAGGCACTTCTGATGTGGGGGAGCTCTCTGCGGTACGGCCCTTCCCCGCAAACCACACGGAGGTAGCTTGCTGCTGTGGTCCAAATCAGAGCCAGGGAGTGAGCTAGGCAACCAAGCAGTGCGGACATCAGGAGCCCAGTCCTCGGGTTCGTGCCTTGGCTCTATTTTATTGGGCAGCATAGATGCCTATGTATTTTTTTCCAACTGTCAATATCTATTTTAAACAAATTTGTATTTCTTAGCATATAACTAATATCAGTCAACTTCAGTGCTATAGGAAAAGGTGGAATTGTACAGTTTACTCCTGCACGATCAATACTTAGTTAGAACTCAGTGGTCACTGAATTAAGAGGAAAGATTTGGATTTGCCTGACTATGCACTAAAGACCAAATACTTCATCGCTGGTTCCAGAATGATTGCACAGCTACCCACGTACCTGTTTTGTCGCTTTTTTTTTTGTCAAAAATGAAACACACATGATATGCTATTTTTTATTTCCAAATATCAAGTATTCAAGAGTTTGTTTTGTAAACACATGTTTACAACAGATGCTGACAATAGATTTCATTAAATGATGTGTTACACAGGTTTAAAATTATTCTAAGCTCTGCTGAGAAATAAATATCAATTAAAAATCCCCATACAGGAGCCTAAAGTATGCAAAACAAACCGCATAAACCAATTAGTCTCTTTTTAACCACAGCACAGCACCCACACAGTCATACCGTCAGACATACTCTACAAATTTCTTTAATACTCTACACATTTGCTTAATAATGAGTTTTTTAAAAACTAAACAGTTATAGGCAGTGTGCCCACTCCATGCTCCTAACATACTACCCAGACTGTTGCTGTTCTGCTTAAATCATTTGGTAGAGGTATGCACTGCAGCCAAGGGCAAAACCCCCATTTGCTCAACTGGGGAAAAGATCAGGTCTTCTCTGAGAAAAGCCTTCGCTGCTCAGCCATGGATCTCAGTAACTCCAAATTCTTTTTTTTTTTTTTTTTTTCCCTTTTTTTCCCTTCTTTTTTTTTTTTTTCACAGAAACTCAGTTTGGGATGATTTTGTATGTTTTCTTTGTTTTCAAATTTCCCTCCATGTTTTCAAACATGGAATTTGTTAAAGAGGTAGAATTTCTGACCTATCAGTCAGAGGTGTACCTCTTAGTGCTATTTAGGATACAGATGCCTCCTCTGCATGAGCAGTCCACGCACAACACAAAATAATGACCTTCTGGAATTCAAAACGAAAGGGAAAAATTTTGTCTTGACGATTTTAAAACCAAACCCCTCTGTTTTCAATCGTAGCTCACTTCAAAGTTGACCAGATTTGGCCTTTTTCCATTGCTAGAGGTAGAATTTACTCTTATTCTACCCCTCTCCTTCTGGTAGTCCATGGAAGTATATTAATATTTCAGATCTGAATCCTCAAAATTAATTCAAACACTTACTAGCGTTGCTTGGTTAAGGGGTCCCAGAATTTAGCCTAGTGCTTCTTTTCATTACTATAGAATTTATTTTCAGCCTCTGCTTATGCAAAGCCACTAAAGTAACACGCTACAGCAGGATGAATACATCCTATGTGAGATTCCTGTGGTCTGTATAGCTTTTACCTTAGCTGCTAGCGCTGGGCGAAATCCTACACTGCCTCCTGAAATCACTTTCCCACAGAAGAGCTGGTTAGGAATTGGCCCAATGGCAATTACAAACACTGTCTTTGCTGGAGCAGTCCAGACTTTAAGAACAAAAACATGTTCAGTTGCGTCATTGACACGCCTTCACTATGTCATTTAAGTCGTAGTGAATACATCATAAAATACTTCAGTACCTATTAGCACCACAATGTTGTTTAGTCATTCGTCCAAAGATCATCAAGCTGTCTCACCCTTCCTCGAGGTGAACAAAGTTTTGGATGCTTTTCGTAGCCCTTCGTGAATTCCACAGCTTTTCACCTATTCTGTATCATGAACAAAATGTTGTTACAGGGTAACACTGTGACAAATGGTTTGAGATAGAAAAAATTAAAAAATACAGTACACGCAACGGATAAAGTAATAACTAGAAGAGTATCATGGAACCTGAATAAATAAGCATTTATTTCATAATGCCTGAAACCAAGAAAAGATTTGAGCTATTTTGAACTTGCAGAGCTACATCTGTGTTGAAAAGGCTGTATTAAGACAAAAGAAAATAGTTTATCTGAAGGACTGGAGGGGGGGGGTTGCTAAAAACTACAGTTATTCACTGTAGGTGATGTAATGGATATGGATATGGCTATGGGATATGGATAGTGTTAGCTGTCCTGTTTAATTTATGTAACATATTCTGTGGAAAGGATAGGGAAAATTTCCCTCCTGAGGATCAGGTAGACTTTCAAACCTTTGGCCACATAATAACATGTATTGGTGATATTCAGCGTAAAGAAGACGAATCATGTGAACCCTGGCCATACTTAGTCCCCAGCGCTGAAGGCCCTACATCTCCACTCTGCAACAGCATTTACATGTAACCTTTTTGAATTGTTTTTTGTAAAACAAGATGTTACAAGGAAAAAAGAAAGCTCTAATTCTGTACCAAAGAATTAATCTACCACCATGATGTTGACTGTCCATCTTCTAAGCACTCTAAATGTCTATAAAATCTAGTCTACTATGCGAAGAACCTGAAATGTGTTGATACAGGTATAATCTACAAGGGGCAAACACTCTGTCCAAAGCAATGCCGATTCAGACTGCAGTCCAGATAAATCTCCTCTCCATTACCAGGTGTTTTAATCCCCTGGAAAGCAACCGCAAGTAGATGGCTTCAGCTGGGGGAACCCAGACACTGCAGCATGCAGCATGGCAACTCCCATGCAGTTATAAAGGACACATTACTGAGAAAGCAGAAGAAGATAAGCTTGTTTAGGAAATATTTTGTCTTCTGATGTCTGAAAACAGTAGCAATAACCAGTGAACAGAGTAAAAAAGCTAAACAAGCACTTGGCATCCTTTAGTTCACACACGCTTGCTAAAGCGCCAGCTTGTTATCGTCCATCCCAAGGTACTGGCCCCGTTCTTCAGCCTCATCACTGGACTGATAAGGCTGAGAATCTGGCTCCAAAATATCAGTAAGACACTTTGGACCTATTTATCATCAGTTTCATGTCAATATAATACCATGAAGAGCTCTGGTATTACACACACACAGGAAGTGTAGTAAGGCAGCAATTAATTCAGGCATTTGGGGGGAAAACCTGCAAGAACAGGTACAGAAGGTGCTGATCCCCCTCCCAGCCATGATGTCCAGAGTTACCCAGAGCAGGCAGTACCCTGCTCTGTTTGTGTGGGATACTGGAAGTTTGTCAATCGAACCCCTAGGTTCAAATTCTGTGAAAGGGCACATTCCAAACCTTCAGAATTACTTCAGCAATTTCATTGGTCGGAAGGATGCCCTTATTTAATCTATCTTCCCACGTAACGCACAGATTTTCAGCCAGAAAGTCATAAAATAAGTGAATGGCAGGAAGAGCTAGAATGTAGCTTTGAGCATGTCCACAAAATATTTTGATTCTGAATTCTATTTGAAAATGAAAGCTTTCCTCCATTGCCAGATATAAAAGTAGCCACACATGAATGCCACAGGGGAGTACTTGAGTGCTACCTCGTGCTGTTCTCGTTTCAGTGATCACTGAATCCATGGGGAAAAAAGCTCAGCATGGAATTTACTCCTTGGGTAAAGGAACTCCTTTCTGAATGCAGATGTGATTCAGTCCAACACTTACATAAATGCATTATTTTTAAGTGCATTACTTGAGTATATAAACTTACACACACATTTAAGTCTTCTGCTGGATCAGAGACATAATGAATGAATAGTTATTACTACAAATTAATAAGCTATATTTAAAAAAAAAAAAAAAAACAAACGTATTTTTGAAAACACTACACTCAAGTGTTTGTAACTAATTTAGGGCCTTTCAAACTTACAATTCTAATCCTAGGAAGAGATTTGTGCCCCTACTTCACTTACAGAATAGCAAGTTCTGAGGAACTGCATGTTACCACACGGACTTTTAAAGATAAAATGACTAGTCGAAGACCTGAGTTTCCAATTAAATGTAAATTGCACCATAATATTCAATGCATTTCTTGCAGCTGCTCACACTGTATTGAAAGGATATAAAATGCCACCAGTTCCAAATTACACCATATTATATCCAGTATGCTCACGGGGAAGAAGAGAGACCAAAACCACAGGGCTTTTGCCTAGAACTGGAAATACAGAGTCCCACTCTCCGGATATTCCAGTGCCCAAGAGCTCTATGAACCGCCTTCCGAGCGTGCAACACTCATAAGCACCCAAGGCCAGGGCTACACCCTTTCTGAAGTTTTCCCCTTTTTGAGGAAACAAGGATGAACGGGAGGCTAAACAGAGGCGATTATCTGTTCAGTCAAGTCCATATATTGGGGCTACTCCTCCTCCCATGTCTCTCTACATCAGGAATAAGCGGTATAAGAGGAAATTAGTCCGCCCTTGTGATGGCATGATGGCACTTTGGACTTGTAGCTAATTGCCAGATGTTGTTGCTCCGTCATTATCCCTGGCTGGTAAGCTGCAGGTAGATGACTTGGTTTGTTACTGATAGCAGCCTGCGAATGAGCAGGGCCCCTGCTTTACTTCTTGTACTTGCTGCTGTGCAACCTTCCGTGTTTGGGGGTAGAGAGGGAAGGTGGCAGAAATGACAGGTTAATGGAATTTTATATTCTATGGCCAGAGGATTTCACAGCAGGGAGACAGCATGGCCACCTCCGCTGGGTGATAGATAAAGCTCCTTTTTTTCTTCTTGTGAGTTGGTTTAGCACCACACATCGATCAAGACTACTGCTAGGGGTGCACACAATTTCTCCAGCGATTCTGCTTCCTTCAGCAATGACAACCTCAGGAAACAGTGTTTGTTCAGCAGGTCTTAGTCCATATTTCAGCCAGTGCTGACAGTGCTGGAATTGACTTCTCTAGGAAGTTAATGTGTTTCCCCTGCACGTCTTATTGGCTTACTTTAGACTGTTATAGCTTACTCACAATAAAGCCTCCTTCAGGAATCAATCAAAAACTGGCCAGAGTTAGGGTTTTCTTTCTTTCAGAGGATTCTGATTTAATTAAGTGATTTTGTAGAAATATATTCTTACTGTCAAAATTATCTGTATAAAAAAATACTAATGATTTTTTTTGTTATGTTTTCCATATAATTTTGAAAGGAAAATTAAAAGGCTATTGAAAGTATGTAAACAATGCTTTTTCAGTATTTCCAAACTGAACATTTTTCCTTCTACATTCCAGTTTCTCAAACATTTCAAAAAAATAATGTTTTTAGAAGTGTAGGCATCAGGATTTCCTAAAAAGCAGGTGTTCTCCATTCCAACAAGCTCTGAATTCCCTTGAAATCAGCTCAGAAGTGGCAGCAGTTGCAGATGTGTCACTTCTATCACTCTCATTCTCTGCCATCAGTGTTAGCTCGACAATCCTACAAGCCTAATCTGCTCTCCCTTGTTATTCACATGGAACAGAAGAGCACAAAAGGCATGAAACAGAATACATCAGTGCAGACGATTCATTTCCAGCCTTTTACAATTCCCTAAATGCTCTGTTTCTGAGGTATTTGAAAAGATTGTCCCTCTTCACCTCACCCTGTGCTGACTAAAATGGGTGAGTGATTAAAATGGATGGGTGATGGGCTGCAATTACACTTTGTCCTACTGCTTTGCCTCAATTTTTGCCATGTCAGGAATTTCTTGGTGCAAGAAGCATTTGAGACTGGAGCAAAAGGAGACATTTTTGGCATCATCTGTTCTGATACCCTATGGAAAAAAAAATATACCAAATACCTTTGAGCCAAGGAAATTTATTCCTCAGGATGAGAAGTGTAGAAGCTAACATGTCAGGTGGCACATGCTGACTGAGGATGTATCGCACCTGGTGGCTGCACAAGGCAAAAAAGTAGTTCTCAGGCTTGACCCCCAAAATCTGTGAATATGTACAGAGTAGCAGGAGGTGATTAAAACGATATTCCTCTACGTTGTAGCCTGAAGTAGAAGTATCTTAGTTTGCAGACAGAGCGAGTGGGAATCGTTACAAGACACATAAATGGACTGAGACATTCTGAAATAAACAGCCACCATTTCAAGCAGGGGAACCAGTCCTGTGGGTAGTCCCATGTGCTGGTCAAGAAGAGCCAGGACATAAGGAAAGGCAGCCAGCAAAGGAGGAGAAGGAAAACTACTCTTCCCAGGACAACTCAGTGGATGCCAAGGAGAGTACTGCTTTTAATTTCAAGGACTTGGTTTCATATAATGTTTCATCAACTTACATATTATAAATTAAAAATTAAACCAGGAATATGTCTGTTCAAAAATTTGTAGAAGTCCTGCTCTTTCCTATTTATTTTCATGCAAGCTCTCTACGTGGCAAAATCCAAACCAATCATTGAGCCCTTTTAAAAGAGTGCTTTTAATTTCCTAAACTTCTAAAGACTTTCCCTGCAGGGCAAAATACAGCTCTGACTTCCCAGTGTCCACCTGAAATCATTCTCTGCCCTCTGAGACATCATTAGTATATCATAAGCACGGCACTACAGAGCCTCCAGAGCAAGAAATGAAATGCCAAATACATTTGATTAGGAAGTCACAGCATCTCCTGTAGGAACCTGGAATAAACGGCCCAGCCGCACGCTCAGACATGAAACGAGGCCGTCAGCTCTCCCTCCAGGCTTTTTCACTGGAGCTGAGCTAGACTGGGAGGCATTCCTGATGGACTGCCAAGCTCTTCCAAGCAAGCTAAAACTGCTTATTTTCTTCTTCGGGAAAAGTATGGATCTGGTGCTAGTAACAGCCACCCAAATAACGTTACAGAAATACGCACATATCCGCTCTGGTATGTGTGTATGATTCCTACATCTTAATGTTATTATAAATTAATACTGAAGTTTTTTACTCCAAGCATTACACTTCTCCATCCTGTATACCTTGTGAAGAACGACTACATGCCATCAAATGAAAATTAACGTGCATTTTGAGAGGATAAAGAAATTACAACTCAATTTTTGCAAACATTACCCGGTGCGTAACTTTTGTATGGCTTAACATGTTATTAACAGTACTTTAAACCCTATGTTCTTTTTTAATGCTTATGTCTGAAAATAGCCCCTTTCAAATTCAGTTGCAGTAACGTCTTTCAAAGCAAACTTTTAACTGATTTGTTGCACATACAATTATCCAAATAAGTTGCATAGTTTAAATAAGTTCAGTTGTGCTTTGTAGCAGAACTCACAGTAATTACTCATCTCTTAAAAATACAATTTACGGATGTGAAGTTGACAATACATTTAAGCATTTTTGTGACATCTAGACATCAACAATGTGAGTTTTTGTCACACTTTCACTGACTTCTGCTGTTCATAATACCTCACCCTTACATTGATATTAGATCAGAGCATGGACATTTAATGGACACATCTGAAACAATTACAAACACAATTTTTAAAAGTCCATTGTTGGGAGAGGAGAAATAAGAACTTCGGTTGCTTTGAGGTATCCAGCCCTCAGGAACATACTATGGTTGTTTGCATTAAGCTTTGTTGGTTTTATCACGTGTTACACTTAGATTAAAAATAGAAGGCACAGGTGTTTTACAAGGCGCCATAATTAAGTCAACCAACAAAACTAAATATTACATTACCAAGCCAGGGGTCTATATCTCAGCAGTGACTTCTTCCAACGCATTTTCATTTGAGGAATTTATTGCTTCTGAAAAAGGGCCAGGGTATGTCTGTGCTACGCAGTTCATTCCTTGTGCCATACTGATGTCTCCTTGGGAACTGAAGGTAGGGCAGGATCTAGTCCGTGCATAGTTTTGTTGGGGTCCAGCTTGGCCAACCATCTCACTCACAGTGTTCACCGGTGAAGCCCTCCATCTCCGTCTCTGCAGTTGCTCTTCTTTACATTTAATGGAATACCAGGCCAGGAAAATAAAAAAGAATCCCACAAACTTAAGAGCAGCTGCCAACCCAAAGTAGACAAAACGAAAAGAGGTGACATCGTATTCCCAACAAGATCCTTGTACGCCGCAATCCTGTTGCCAAAGCATGCACGTGGTGTCAATAACAGCCCCAAAATAAATTGGAGTGGGAATGTAAGCTGAAACAAAAATAGCAATAGAAATAATATGTGTTAGCATATAGTGGAAAAATTCTAAAGAAACTATATGCCTTAGCCAAATGTTGTAGGTCGAGAATTTCTGAGATTTGTACACTACTGTTCTCACATAAAATGTAAAACATGGGAAACTGGTCAGCCGATCTTCCCATCAACACTGCTTATCCCACACATGAAACATAGCACAAATGTGAAAGAATTCAAGCAAAGAAGACAATGTAGCAGCACCTTAAAACAGCTGCTGCTTCAATCTGCCATTCTCAGACAGCTCTTCTTGAACGAGGTGTCTCCCAAAAGAAAAATCAGTGTTGCTCTCATGAAATAAAATACAGGAGATGAATAAAATACAACATTATCTCCAGAGCATTACTTGCTGCACATCCATTGCCCATAAGCTGGGAAAGGGCAGGGGCTGCCCCTTTAGACTAAGGAGAAAAAGCCCCAAAGACTGCAAAATGTTTCTCTTAATGAAAACAGATGGAAGCAATGAGACCACCAAAGTTGTAAATTTTCTCCTTGAATAGATCTTCCTTAGAAATAGACTTTAACTCCTAAGGCTGCTAAAAATGCAGCCAGCCCACTGAATGCTCCTGCTTTCTCCAGAAATACGACACCTTTACAACAAGCCAGAAACCTCCCTCCTCAAAGAAAACTCTGAGATGCAGCTGTACGGACTTCTCATGTTCTCTTAGAATAGACATTGCTTGCTCTAGTCATATGTTTCATAGTAGCTGAACACCTGGAGTGTTCTTTATAGGCAGGATTTTAGAAGTTCAAGAGCTTGAAAGAAAGAACTTTGTGGAATAAAGACTTTTAACATGCATCCTTTTTGCTCTGAAACATTTGAAATTAGACATTAAGTAACAATTGCTTCTTACTTTAAAAATGCTATTGTTATTGCTGAAAGCAATAAAATTCTATTTTTAGAAAAGAAAATATCTCTACAAAATAATGTTTAGTAACTATTAATTTCTAAATAAAATTTTTAACTGTAAAATTATCTCTTCCTCAGACAAAAATGTTGTGCTAAAGTCAGTGACTAGAAAGAAAAGACAATCAAATACATTCTGAGTTACAACATTTTCAGAAGCTATTCATTTTAGGTTTCTAATACAATTAGTCAGGCAATTAGTTGCAGATTTATGGAATTTTAGTACTTTTATGCTACATTTAAGCGGAACATGGTGAGCCTTTATGGTAATGCTGGGTAACTCCTCGACTTACCAAGAGTTCGTAATAGAACAAACTGCATTCCTAGTGCAAAGGGCCGCTCCCCATCTTCCACAGACCTAGCAGGTGAAGAGAAAACTCTTCTGAAGAAACAGTCATAACAAATAATCATTGTGGTATGTTCTGGCTCTAGGTCCTGGCTTCCTTCTGAGATATCAAAAATTTTTGTCTAAATTTCTTCCATTTAGCTTCTACTACTGTTAACTCTTATTGCTAGGAAAAAATACAGCCAGTCTCTCCTGTCCTGGTTTAACCAAAATCTCAATCACACCTTTTAATCTTTCTTTATCCGTGTAAGGTCTGAAGAATTTGATCCAAAACCATTAAGGAAATTTAAAGAATCTATCCAAAATGTTTATGGCTTCTCGTAATAGTTTCCTATTATTTCATATAATGTCTTGCTTTATTTTCTTAAGCTTTTTCACATAAATTAGAATTAATGGAGAACTAAGTTGCTGAAAGCTGAACTCGGCTTCTGAATCTAACAGTTCTCTGCATAGCAAAAGCACTTTGGAGATACTTTAGAATTATCATGTTAAATATTCTAAATACAAGCAGATTCCACCCTATCCATATGTCAGCCCAACTCTATTCTTCTCTTAAGGATACATAAGCTTGAAGGAGCTTGGCTGCATTGCCCCAACCTCTTCTGACACAGGTACTGGTGACAGCAGGCACAGCAAAAATACTTAAAAACCATAACTGAGCTCTCACCTGAGCGTCACTATGATTGCGGATGGCTGGGCGCATGCTGTTATAAGGGTAACAATGAAGAGGAATATCAGGAACGGGATAAGCGTGTTGCAGGTTCTATCACACTTCCCAGAAACAGCATAGCCGTTCTCATTCAGGTAGGTTTTAACAATAACCAGCCGGAGCTGACTGCGCTGGCCCACCGTTGGCGGAGTGATCACCTGGCGACTCTGGACACAGGCACATTCTGTGTAATTCCTTACCTGGGGAGAACGAAAAAGAACGTTTCCACATGAAAAACTCGTGCGAGAAAGACACTGAACAGAGATGTGGAACTACAGTCCCATGGTATCTCTCCATCAGGAATCTTCCGTCTCTAGCATCATCAGCCCAAGTGCAAAAGTTACCACCACAAGTATTTTTAAAGCTGGCCAGGACTCTTCACGATGAGATTGTCTTTCCATTGCTTTATTTAGGCTGAATTCAAAAAACATTCTGGAACATTTTTGGAAGATGCTACCAAAATAATTCAATCGCTTCTGACAGGGAGGCTGGAGAGTTTGTTTCCGTTGTATTACAGAAATTGTGAGGAAACACTCTTTAAGCAGCACTGACAATGCCATATTCTGGAATTTGGCAGGCTGTTGACTTTCATATTCGCGAGGTGTCTTCTGCCATCCCAGTGGAAATCTACCCAGATCTGGCTACAGAGCAACAAGCTGCACTTCACACTTGGAGCCCAGGACCTTCCAGCTGGATGCGGGTTTGGATGTGGATGGGATGTGGACTGGAGCAAAACCAGAGAATAAGGGGAAAGCAGAGACTTAAACAGTGAGACTGGAGGACATGAGGGATTCCCGAATGGACAAAGAGGCTGAAATTAGGATGAATAGACTGAATAAAGAAGTGGCATTTCACAGGCAAAGGGGATTGTGATTTGAGCAAGGTGAGGACAAGCTACATCAGAAATAGCCTCCTATCACATTTATTCTACTGTTTTCAACCAATCTAATGGCAAAGGGGTGTGTAGCAGGTAAGAATACTCCGGCACTAGACAAAAAAAAGGTCAGGACCCATGTGATGTTACAGAAAGGAGGTTCTGGTTTCTATGTTTGCATTCATAAAACCTAGGACTGCACATACACAGAAGCCACATTACAAGACCATCTTATGATTGTAAATTTAAGCACTTGGGACATCAGGAAATACCCAAATTATGGTTGTTTGTCAACTTCAATGTATACCCTTTTATGTGTCTGTGCTATGATGTAGTCTCACATTTTTTTTTCCCATGGTATTTAGCCGAACATCTTAATATATCAATTTATTCATCATTTTACGTCCCGTTTTCAAAATGTGGCTCCAGGTATTTTTTTTCCTCACACTAATCATATTCCACTACAAAGACAGAACGAGTCGTATTTCATAGGGATTTTTCTATCACAGTCATCATCATAGCTTAACTCTTTCAAAAAGGTGTCATTTATCTTCAAAACAGTTATGAGGCACTGATGTTGTTATCTCTATTTTGGAGCTAAGTAACTGAAATATATTAAAAGTTTCACAAATGTGGGTCACTAGTTTGAGATAATCAGGATCCTCTTTTTCAGAACATTTTCCATTATATACAACTTAATATATTCTATATGTAAGTTTTAATGCCTTCAGATGCAGATTTAGGCACTCAGTGCTTCTACAAATGGCACTTCTGGTTATTGCTCATGTCCATCGTCAGGAACATAAAGAATACAAGATTAATGTCCAAATGGGAGAAATCTTGTTTAAGTGACTTGCCCGACATTGTTTAGGAACAAAGACAATGACAGAATCCAGTTTCCCAAGGCAGCACGCCACTCTCTAGGAGTATCTGCTTTCTCCCTACAGACCCTCACCTTAATCTCCTTATTGATTCCAAGTGCAAATGCCGAATCAGCATCCTACAGAAAACAGTCATTTTTACTACACAATCTTGATTCATCACCAGAGGAATCAGGTCTGTGTACTAAATGAGACAGACATGACACAACAGAAATGCTAGAGTATACAGATACACATATAAAACAGGTATGAACTGAAAACTGGCATCCTTTTCTCCTACTTCCAATTTTTAAATGGTTAAATCTGAAAACACTACACGGTATAAGCTTAAATCCGAGTGTTAGAGGTTAGCAACACTATGTGTGTTATACAGTGGCACAAGCTTACATTTGTTTTTTCTAAAGTACCCTACGTAAAGCATTATTTAATGAAAAAACACATTTTCCCACCAATGTCAGATCTATTCTATTCACCATCAGCTATCCTGTTAAAACCTCAGGCCATGAAGGATCTTTTCTTAAATCATAAGAGGACACAGTATGTTTCAAAATCTGTAGTGAAGAGTACATACTCCCAAAGTACCTCCTTACCAAATGAATTAATGTACCACTTTGATATCAGGTGAAATGTAGCAAAGATCAAATCCAGCAATGTCTCAATCCAGCAAAGCACAAATAAGATTTATATAGACACTGAAAGTTAACCACAGGCTCACGTCACAGGCTTTTCCAATTGGGCCAAAGCAATTTTCTACTAAAAACCAGCAAGATACTCCTAAAAAAAACTATAAAGGAAACTAATCTGTTCTCAGTGGCATCTACGTATGAATCTGCATTTTCAGGTCATTATCCAGTCAACCTGAGAAAGCACAGCACTGGACCTAACATCTCCCTGCTTCATCGGCTGGCTCAAAACTGCAAATCAGGAGACTGATACACTATAAATAAGCTTTCTGGAAAGCGCAATCAAGTCCTGAGAAAATCAATGTTTACATTACCTCCTGTCTTTCTTAATTATCCTTTTTTAAAGGACAGCTCTGTAACAGAAGAATTTAAGAGTTTGTTTTTGGTACAAAATGAGCACAATCATAATTCTCTGTTGATACTTAGCTCACATTCTACTTTTCAACTGTTTTCTTGTGCCCAGTCCTTGAAACTGCCAAATATTCATGGTTTGACTTTAACAGATGGATGCCCTTCCCTAGTCCAGCATAACTGGGAGACTGGACTGTAACAGGTAATGTACTTCCAAGAAAGAAAGTAGATTATTAACATTCTTTAAGTTCTGGTTACTTGAGTTCAATGTCAATGTCTTCATTTAGCCTAGAAGAGGTTTAGAGAAAGGCTATGAGAATATCCAAAGTGTTTTACAAGAACAGAATACACAGGCTGTCTTTACCTGGCTATGCAAACAAAACACTTAACAATACAGTGGTGCGGGTGCAACTTACGCAAAACGATGAGGCTGACACGAACACCAATGCCTTTAAATAGGCCACAACTAAATTAAAACAGGAGTTTAAAACACTTCCAACTCCCTGAAGAGTTAAGTTCTTCCTTCCATTCAGAGAGGGAGCCAAAAAAAACCCCAAACTGCTCTTAAGAGCAACACTGATGAGCTTGCAGAAAGACAGTCTGACACAGCTGCCTTTGTCAGCAGAAAGCTGAATTAGATGACACTGACTCAAGGTCCCCTCTCCGAGCCCAGGAACAGCAGACACGCAAGCTACTGCCACCGGGGACTTCAGAGTCTACACTGGAAACACCAGCCCTCCCTACCCCGTGGCACTTCGCACTCACTTGGTTGGAGGATTCACTTAGTACAAAAGAACTTGTGCCTCAAATTTATAACAGAAAGGAAGGGGGGTGGGACCATTCAATAGTAGCGTTACCAGCCTTTCAAAACATGGAAAGACTTATGCACAAGTCAGCTGTAGAGCAGCTTCTCTGAAGCTTAGAGGAGGGATGCTTGCACTAGAAACAAAGCAGTTGTTGATCTGCATCAGTCCTGAGGGGTTACTCACGGGTTGTAGATGGGTGGGTGGGTGAAGCACTTACCCCTGTGCTATGGTTTCCACCGTTGATGCAGCCAGCTAGGCAAGGATTAAAGTATGTTATTCCATCTGATCCACAGACAGGCTCGTACTCGTGAATCTTACATCCACAGTTAACATTACAGCTCCCAGTCAGATTCCTGTGGGCCATGGCAAGAGTGGGACTGAAGAAAGGAAAAAGAACATGGTGGTAGAGCAAGCACAGATATCCTGCTGTTCAGAGGGAGAAAACATTCTACTCATTAACTCTGGAACTGAGAGTTGATTATCAGAGAAAGACTGTGTTAACTCTAGGTTATGTACACAATTTAAACAATATTGAAGAACACCCGAGACATCCCTGCCATCAACTAAAAACACATTACAAAAATAATACCAAAGTTTAAAACTTGTACCTTATTTGCCTAGGTAACAGTTGTATTTTTCCCCTGTTTTTTCACCTCTAAGAGTTGACACCACTATTTTATGCATCTATCCTAAGCTGCAGCAACCTGTTGTTGATTACTAGTGAAGGGCTCAGCAATGAGATGTAAGCATTATGTGAACTAATAGGCATCTCTTCCTACATACCAACAACTGTTCAGAAAACTTAATGCTTGTGTCATTTATATGTATATGTGAAATGTACAGGAAGCTCTCTAGATCTGAAGGAGTGCTGTGCTTTCACTAAATGTCTGTGAAAGAACCACTACTCCGCTTCCCTGGACCATTCCCCAAAGTCTTGCCAGAACTCAGCTTTCTATGTCCTCCCCGGAAGGGTCCAGCAATATGCTTAGAAAGAACTAAAGGGAATTTCAAAGCTGAAGCACACACACGCACAAAAAGCAGGCTCTTCATTATCTGTCACTGCTGCTCCAAAGAGGTGGCTGAACAGATCTCAGCTGCCACAGCAGGGAACTGCATCAACTCTTCACTTGCAAGAGCCATGCCAGCCTGGGCACATCCTCACCATGGGACGGAGGAGCAAAGGGACCCCAACCAAGGCAGCAGCTCAGGGCACTCATCTGAGCTCAGAGGCTCATGTAGCAAGGCCCAAGCGAAGCACTGCGCTGAAGTAGCTACAGGTCTCTCCCAAAGCACTCTCTCCTCCAGCTAACACCTCTGTATGGTACGTCCGGGCCCTGTCTGGAAAACAGGTCATTCAGAAGCAGTTTTGGTCCCCAGAGATGGCACTGCCCTGGGTGCTGGGAGCCTCGAAGCAAGACAAACTCCTAAGACAGAACCAACACCTGATATCCTGAGCTGCCAAGGGGCAGCCAGTACAAACCACTGAGTGCTAGTGTGCAACTCACGGCTAGAATCGAGATTTCATAAACATATAATCCCACTGTGGCACTGCTTTACCGTATCAGTTGAACCATTGTAGCTCAATTCAGAAGTGACAAAGGCCTTAGTAATAGCAGTGTCCATATCTATAAAATCACAGACTCTTCATCAGAAGATGATAGGAAAAAAAAAAAAAACAAAACAAAACACTGATCAAATGGTGCTTTTTGCTACCAGCAGAAAGAAATCAAGGCGGGTTACAACAGGACATTGGCTGTGACAATCACAGGTCCTTACTCAGGTTGACTAAGTCACACAGTCACCAAATTAACCAGCTCCTGTCGTACGTACCATATCACTTCAGCCCTGCCCAAAACAACACTTAGGTCACTTAAAAATGCCCAGTTTTGGGCACAAACCCTGGAGGAGACACTCAGCTACTCCCTGCACTGAAGGAAAGCCCAAGGTGACACTGGACTTTTAGACATTCCTGGGTAGGCTAAGGTCTTGAGCACAAAACAAAAGAGGAAAAGCATTAGCAGGCATAAAGGCAACCTCACTGAAAGAAATGAATAGTAAAAACCCCTACATAACTGTATATACAAATTCTGATGATAGAGAAACAGAGAAAGTTAAAATGAAAGAGTTAAAGAAAGAGAAAATGGATACTAGTTTCTTTGTTCCCAAATTAAAAACAGACTAGCATAACTGGACCCAGTGTATATAGAGCTAATATCAGAGGATGTAAGGTGTCAATCTCTATTATCCAGAAGCTCCTCATTAATGAGGAAGTAGTTGATGATCATGTCATATTTTTCTGACAAATAACTGGTCTGAAAAGCCATTTACTTTTGATCTGCATATTTTCTTAAAAACCTCAGGCTAGCTTATAGAGAGCTACTATACTACCTTTGCCCCTTTCAGTTACTGGGATTGCTCAGATGAGTTCTGTAGCATTGTTTTTCTTCCTTGGCTGGCTAAAGACTAATTGAAAACTTATTTTTGTATGTGAAAACCTTTAGAAACACATGAAAATGGCTGTTGAGTCCATGGCTGTCTCTTTACCAGTATCCTGTCTCTAACAGTAGCCATAAGAAGGTGACTAGGAAAGAGCAAGAACAGGGCAAGTAACTTCCCCCAGAGAAGTATTATCTCAGCCTCTAATGAGTCTCAGACCAAAATATTTTCTAAGTCTGATGTGTTTTTTTAGTTAGTAAACCTCATTTGTTTTCCCCTGTACTTCTCCCATTGAGATTAGATTCTTTGCATCTACAATATCCAACAGCAAGGATTTTTTGACAGTCCACAGCCTTTTATATGAGCTGTTGTTTGTTTTAAATCTGGCTCTTACTAGCTTTATCTGAGAACCCCCACTTCTACTTCTTTGCTTGTAAATTCCAAACACATAAAAGCTCGTGGAAAAATAAATTTAAGGGGTTAATCCAACCAACATGAAAATATTTGCAAGCCCTAGTGAAATCTTGTAGATGCAATTAAATAAACCACTTCTAATATTAACTACTCTAATCTAATCACATCTAGTATTACCTGAGGGCATTATGCCAGAAGGTACCCAGCAGTATAGGCATAAATATTACCTTTTATCCATGGTATTACTGAACTTGCTGGTTCAGGTAACAAAAAGAAAGTAACTGTTCTGCTTAGATATATATGCAGACACACCTTGACTATGTGAGTTATTTTCTGCTGTCATTATGCAGTCAAATTATAACAAGCATGGACTTTTAAATGGCCCATATTATATTTATATCTATTTTTACTACACTTGTCATGCTCTCTATCTCATTTCAGGTTGATAAATTAATTTAATAAGTGGAAAAGCAATAGTCTGCAGTGCGGTTTACTGCTAGTTCAATTTTCTGCATCTCATTTGGAATTTCATCTGGGTTTAAAATACTGCCAGCAACATGAATGCATTAAGGCAATGGAAAAGTTACCTGAATGACCTTATTCATACCAATCTATTTCCAAGTGATACAGCTGGCTGAGGCTAGGGATCCTAGCTCATATTTCCTAAATACCTTTCTGTCTGAAGAAATCACAGTTCCTGAATTCTGCACCCGCACTCCCTCTTCACTGCATAAGATGATTCCAAGCCACTGAAAACTGAAAAGCAGCTGATATCAACGTTTTTACCTTAAGCTTCTCCTGTTACTTAGGAAAACCCCCATTTTCTTATGTTACTTTCTGTCATAGCTGCACTTTAAGCTTGTAAGTGTTATTTTGTATCTCAAAGTACCCAAATGTTAGGGACCGCAATATTCAGTATTGCAATGCACAAGTTCGTCAGGAGATAGAGGGCCAGTTTCAAGCCACTTCTTTTACAGGCTTTAATTTTCAATACCTAAACCTGAAAGTTTTCGGTCCTTCCAGGTGCCTAAGTCAGAAAGGCAGGTTCTGTAAGGAATCAAGACAGCTGGCACTTCTGAAGATCTCAAAAAATTCAGAACATGGAAGTGAGGGCCTGACCTCCCCTCAATGACTTTCTGACTGGCAGTCTGGCCAGTGAAGGTGAAATGGGAGCTGAAAATGATGGTAAGACCAGATCAGAATTGGGTCTAGAGACAATGATGACAGCCAGACCCAGTCCACAACAGCTCTTAGCAGGGATGGAGCTGACCCTGATCTCAGCCAGCTGAACTCCTTAACTCAGGTGACCAAGCTCCTGGAAGCGGGAGGATGCACTCTGCACCCCGACATTGTACAGGAATACTGGTGCCTGCTACAGACAGCTGAGTTCTTACACACAGAGCAAAAAGCTGCCCCTTTGTGCCGACAGCCTTCTCGAGACACACCACACGTCATGGATTTGTAACAGATCTCTTCTGAAGTGGTGGAGGAAGCTTCCTCTTCATCAGCTCTGCAGTTGCCTGCGGTGGGAACACTGGGGTTCCCAGTTCTCCTCAACCTGAAGGGGTTCAAACCTTTATCTCACTGATAGTCGTTCTTACCAGCAAGCTCCAGAATGGTATTTCTTTCCATCCCTTCTGCTGAAGCTGAATGTATCTCAATCCTGTCCATGCCTCCTCATCAATAACTCTTTACTGCCATATCTACGAGCAAAACCTGCAGCAGAGAACAGGACTGAACTAATTTCTTCTAAGGGAAATCTCCTTTCAGAAGGTTTTAAAGTTAGGCTCCTCTCTTGCTTACTATTTTTCTTCTTCTACATCTCTGTACATTTCTCATTTTTCCTTCTTTCTCTTCCCTTGCATCCACCATCCATTTGTGCAGTGGTTATGGTACTCTTGGGGACACCAGGAGTTCAGGGTCAGATTCTCTCTGATTAACGCTGGATAAAGGCTACCACAAAGAAGGTGAGCAATTTCTGCAGCATCAATTTCCTGACTTCCTAGCAAAAAAACAAACCATCAGGCAGTTCACATCTCCTCCATAGTAACTGTTAAACGCAGTGCCCAGTGCTAATAAAGCGGCTATCAGTGGGAAACACACACACATCACTCTGGATCTACACACATCCCTATGGATCAGGACATACTTCAAATGCTTCGTTCCCATCTTTGAGCCACAGCAGGTTAAACACCTGCACCTACCTGGCTCCCTAAAACCACATGAGCCTATGTTTGGTCACTTGGAAAACTCTGGCCAAAAACCAAGCAATAGCTTATTTCACTTCAGTAGTCCTTAAGAATGGGTAACTATACTAATGTCTGAGACTGAAGGGTACAAAATACGCTTAATCTGGGTTTTGCAAAGAATTCACGTATTTCAAGCATGTCGCAAAGTTGTTCTTCAGTCAATGCACTCCTCTACCTTCTCCACAGTGGTCAGAACGGCAGGGATCTAGTTTAGCTCAGAAGACAGGGCCATTCAGTCTGTCATCTGAATGGTTTTGTGACTCTTCATAGTTACAGCA